ACTGTTCTCACTCCTTCCCATGTACCCCGGCCGAGCTCTGTCATCTGCCCTAAGCCATGATGCTGTTTCATGATGCATGGGAGTGAGGACCACATGTATCTCCAACACCTTGCCAGGGCCTGGTGTAAAATGGTATTCAATTAACAGCTGAGTGAATGAGAAAACAAAATGGTACCCAAAAATCTCTGAACATCGCTCTTCACTGCTTTCTCTGCTTAAAATACATGCCCCTCATTATTATGAGCTTCACTGCTTCCTATGCCTTCTCCTACACTCCTCCAGGTAGCGCTGATGACTCCCTCCTTTATGTCCTCATTATGCCACTTTTACCTCTCCATAGCACACATTTATTTATAGCCAAGGAGCAAAGGAACTCAGGTGTTTGTCTAGGAAGAGGCTTCAAGGGATCGTAACAACTATCCTCAGCTATTTGGAGAACAGTCTTAGCAAAGGGGCTGGATGGGTCAGGTTCTCTATAACTGTAAAGGATTAAGCTCTGTGATTTTATAAGAAGGTGGATTTTGGTACAGTACTGTATAAGGCAGAAAATCATCTCAGGGCAGTCTTGTGAGACTTTGGACTGGGATTCAAATCCTAGTTGAATTTCTATGCCAGAAATATAGTAAACAGGATGTCTGTAGTGAGTGGGAAAATGGATTGGGTGACTTTCAAACTCCTTTCCAAATCTGTGCAGAGGAGGTAAAGCACAGTGCTTAAGAAGCACTTTAGTAAGATGGTCAGTTATGAATCCTGGCTTTCACCATTTACCTTGAGCAAGTCAGTTGACTTTGCCAAGTCTTAGTTTCTTCAATATTTGAAAAAAAATTATACCTATTTTGTAGGATTGCAGTGAGGATTCAATGCTGTTACACATGTGTGAAAAATAAAACAGAAACTGGTTGTGGTTCAACAACTATAAGTCATCATGTATATCCTTGCCTAAATTGCCTAAATTGGGCTAAATTGTACCCTGTTACTTACCTCCATGCTCCTCACTCTTTGGCTATCATGCTCCTTGCCCTAGAACTCTCTGTCATGGTCACTTGCCTAATTCTAGGCATCCTTTCAAGTAGCATTACTTCTAGAGCTTCAAGTTTCCTCACCTAGCATGAGCACACCCTGCGACATGGTTGGTTGAGGGCATGACTGCTGTCTCACTCTTCTCTGTCTAGCAGTGCTGCAACAATGGTAACATTCTATTCACTCTAGACTCCATTCTATTTTCCCTGTCTGAACAAAGAAGATAAATCAGGTATCTGCTTCCACCAATACTGTCATAAACACGTTGGCTTTAAACTCTAATGATCTCATTGGGACTATATTCTCTAGAAAAGTGTCTCTTTTTTTGTATATTTCTATTTCAGACTTTTGAAAAGTCAGTTAAATTTTTAAAGCAGGGACAGTCTACACAACCTTGTGAGTTTTTTTGGTGCCCTCTCTTTTCTCTTCCCCAATGGGGGTTCCGTGGCATCTATCATTCACCATTGTTTAAGTTAGTATCAGACTTTCTTACTGAAGTGACAATGTTCACTGAGCATTTGAATTTTCCCTAGAACTGTCTCACAATATCAGAATCTGCATCTCTTGAGTTGTGTTCAAACACGATGCTATGATGCTGCATGGTAACTTATTTGGCACTAAAATTCAAGTCTGCTTTCATTTTTGTTAACACAACTCAGCAGTTTGATGCAAGATGCTCAAGCTGATAATTGGACCCTAAAAATCTGCATGAGAAAAAGATGAGCTGGAAGTTTGCAGGAGAATAGAATACTGAGGCAAATTCTGTATAAACATTACTACACAGCTCAGAATGGATAGCTACCTCTATTTATCATGCTAATTATTCCACCAAGTGGTGGGAAAGTCCATTTAATGAATCTGTCAGCCTCCCAGGGTAAACAGATGAGCAATGAATACTAGTTGTGTGTGTGTGTGTGTGTGTGTGTGTGTGTGTGTGTGTGTGTGTGTTGGGGAGGGAGTAGGGGGAGCATTTGTTGAATTAAGTAAACTCTGCTTTCCAATAAGATGTCTGCTGCTAACCTTGACAATTCTTCAAGGTTTTTATTCCTTTTTAAATAAAAAGTTTCCTTTTTATTTAAAAGGAAACTTTAGAAGAGATTTCTTTAAGTTTAGTTTCCTGATGTCAGCATTACAGTCACCCAGACTGCATATGTAGACTCCTTGGTGTAGACCTCCTTTCTGAGGTGGGTCTCTGCAATTCTAGAAAGCCCCTGCACACAGGAAATCAAAAGAAGATTTTTCCTTTCTGGGATTACATTGCAAGCCTGATGACTAGTCTGCTAGGCACATGGCATTATTTAAGGGTTCTTATAGAGCACTAAGCACTGAAGTTATGTTTACATTAAAAAAGAAGAATCCTTGTTATTAAGATGTAGATGCTGGTAATTTTTCATCGCTGTCACAAGATGCCTGAGCAAATCCACTTAAAGGAGGAAAAATTTTATGCTGGCTCACAGTTTCTGAGGTTTCAGTGCATGGCCAGCTGGCTCCATGGCTTTGGGGCTGAGGCAAGGCAGAACATCATGGTAGAGGAGTGTGATGGAGTAGAGCTGCTCATTTCCTGGCAGCCAGGAAACAAAGAGAGACAGAAAAGGGTCCAGGGACAGAGGCATGTCCTCAGTGATCTACTTCCTCCAACTAGATCCCACCTCTTAAGAGTCCATCCATCCATTCAACTGTAAATTCATCAATGGATTAATTCACTGATGAGTTAAGGCCCTCATGGCTCCACTCACCTCTCAAAAGCCAATCAGTTGGCAACCAAGCCTTAACACATGAGCCTTTAGGAAGTTTTAGAATAAAACTATAACAGCAGATAATAAAACTGGGGACCAAGGGGAGCCTATAATGAATTAGCAAGCCCAGTGCTATGACCCTGGGCAAGGTGCACAGCTACCATGAAGGAGGTTACCATATATCACCTACTGAAGGAGGTTCTGGAACAGATGACATTTTGAGCTATTTTTAGTGCTTAATTATGAGTGTCTTGAAGGCAAGAAGAGGCTGAGAGTTTAGTCTAACTATGCACAGAGCTGTCATTGAAGAAAGGCTCACTTTTCAAACTCAGATCTACTCTTGGCCTACCTAAAGGCTGAATCACAAAAACTTTTGTCATTCTAGGTTGACCAGGAGTACAAAGGTTTATGGAGACTACAGCATCCTGGGCAGGGGTATCACCTTGAAGCGTATTTAAAACATTTGTGTCTTGTACAAATGGAGGAACAAGTCTTTCCACCCCCCAACAGAAACTAGTCTTTTAAAGAAATTTTGCAAGCCCCTCCCTGCCTCTTCTTGATATTCATCCCTGAAGACCCAGCACATATGTGATCTCTATGTACAATATCATAAAAGTTTCCTTTTGGCCACATGAAGGACTCTGTGGTTTTTTTTCCTCTATTACTTATTATGCCAGCATTACTGCAGGTAGGTGATTCCAAGCTGGCTCTGCCATAGCCAGTTCCTAAGGGCAGAAACTATCTGTTTTCACTTTAAATCTTCAGTGCCTCAGACACTGCTACCTCCACAGATATTTGCTCTGAGTTCACTAAGTATGAGGACTAATTAGCTGGTATAATTTCTCCTGCAGAGTTTGTCCTGTTCTGTCCTGAACCTCTGTTGAGCCCCACTGTGAACCACTCCATACAGGCCCCAGCAGAGCTTTGGTGCATAAATCAGTTTGCCTGCAAAAGACATTTAGGCAAGGCCTAGACAGCTGGCATCCATAAATTCTGCATATTGATGACATCTGTCAAGACTGCATTTCACCTAGCATGCATGCTCTGAGTTACTTTGTAGCTAATTTACATATTCCACAGGTCTGGTTATCACTGCATCTATCTGATGGAAATGCAAACAGAAGTCACTGGGAACCACAGGTAAGTGCCTGGCACGCTTCTGGGCTGCTTGGAAGCTGTCAAAATATCTCTTGGAAGGACCTGTGACCCCTAGGTCCTCTTTCTAGTGATGAGTACTTTTCCCAAAATGCAACCAAGAACTTTCTGTAAAGGAAGAGGTCAGGGGTTCTACCTGTCCCCAATTACCTACAGGGATGGTTTACAAAGGGCCTTCCTTCTGGCTGCAATCCCATGGATCAAGTTCACAATGGACAGAAAATCTGTGGGTGCAAATTTTATAGAAAAGGGCAATGAATTTATGGCTCCACACATCAAAGAAAGGAAAAGAGAGAGTGAGCGAGCAATTCTTCTCACTGATCACTATGGACATGTGACTCTACATAGCTACTGCCTTTGACCAGCAAAGGTCGAGATTCAATGACTATAATCACATCAATGAACAGGAACCATTCTGCCCTGCAGCTCTGAGGGCTGAATCCATCCCTTGATTGATCTCCTGGACCCATGGCCCTTGTTTTTAACTGAAGCAAATTGAGTCTCTCTTCCCCTCTGCCACAGCTTCTAAACTTGTTTTCCTGCCTCTGGACTGGACCTTCTCAAATCAGCCAATAGCTCCCCGCCCACCCCACCCCTATTTTGGGATAATTTCTAAATTTGTCATCTGTGCTAATGACTCTCCTGTGAACACTGGGCCTGCTTCTCCAGTCTCACTGCCTCCTTCCAGCCAGAGGAAAGCTTTCCTGTAGGATCCTTGCTCTCATCTTTAAACCTTCCTCAAACCAAATGCGTTTTACCTGGGACACTCTCCCTCTCCTTCCTTAATTCGTACTTCACCTTTATCTCAACCTGTAGGAAGTTCCCCTCTCACTGTGCCTCTATGAAGTATCTTATACTTCTAACAGTGCATGTCACATGACCTTGGCTGTCTGTGCTGTTCACTAAGCTACAGTTCCATGGGAACGGGACTGGCTTGTATTGTTTCTCCTGCAGCCCCAGAATCCATCGTGGTTATTGGGCACATAGTAGGTGGTCAGTTAATATTCAGCTGGTGAGTTTATGGGTATCATAAATGGCAACCAATCCACTCCTAAAATCTTGGGAGATGGGAGGAAACTCTAAACACACCATTACAGGTGCAACGCACGTTCCTATAGAAACGTGGACACACGAAGCTGATGCAAGCTGTGCTATAGGTCATGAGCACGTGGGAATCCAGTGACAAGCCCTGTTCACAACGCTGCTCCTGACAGTCCAGACCCGAGCAGTTCTTCTCCAGGATAGCTGAGATGCACATGACGTTCTCCAGGTGCCGCCTGCCACTGGACAGCTTCCGGATCAGGTAGGCTGGCTTGTAGAACTCGCTGCTGTGCATCTCCACTGCGAACAGCATGTCCCGCTGGTTGGTGCCTGCCACAGGCTGGATGCTGATGATGTGCAGGCTGTCCTGCTTCTGAGTGAGAACTGCATTCCTTAGGGTGCGCCGGAACCCATGCATGTGCAGCCCCACGAAGTCCTCAGGGCACACGTCGTCAAAGCGGATGGTGACGGTGTTCTGCAGCATCTCGCGTACCAGTTGCTCCACGTGTACAACCACATCAGTGGGCACCTGGAAGCGGCCATCACTCACAGACACATTTAGGACATGCTTGCCACTGTCCAGGCCTCCCAAGGCAATGATTTTCCCGTCGTGACTGTTTACTTTGAACAAGCTTTTCTGCTCCGATTTCAGGGCAAATGTGAGCACATCATACATGTCTTGATCTGTGGCATGGATTTTCCCAATGACCCCACCAGGAAAGTCATCCTCCATGGTGACAATGAAAATTTCCAAGGGGATGGCTGTGGGCTTGTGGATACTTTCCTCGATGACCCGCACTCGAATGTAGGAATGACAAGCTTGCTGTGGTTTGCCTGAGTCCTTCGCCTAGGGCAACCAAAAGGTAAAGGCAAGGAATTAAGTTAAAAAATCATAATAATTAAAAAGCAAACTCTCAGAGAGATGTGATGTCTTTACTTTTAACCAGGTTTGCGTCTTCCTCCATCCCCTGTCACTCTTCTGAAAAATGCTGAGGATGTGTGTTTGAGGAAGAGGAGTGACTTGGAGATGGAATCTTTATTCTCTATTGGATTCTTTCATTTTGATTGGACCAGATGGTACCTTTCAGAACACTTAAGAAACAACATTATTTAAATGGGACTCATACAACAGTGAAGTTTAGAGTAAAACCTGGCACACCAAAGGACAAAATAGGTAGCCTGAAAAAGACCTTCCCCCCCACCTTTTTTTTTTTTTCTGGTGGGACTGGGGTTTTAACGAGGGCTTCGTGTTTGCAAAGCAAGTCCTCTATTGCTTGAATCACATCTCCAGTCCATTTTGCTCAGGTTATTGGAGATAAAGTCTCGTGAATTATCTGCCCAGGCTGGCATCAAACCATGATCCTTCAATTCAGTTGCCCTCAGAGCTAGGATTATAAGAGTGAGCCACCAGTGCTTTTTCTCCCTTCTTTATGTAAGATTCAATGAAACAACCACTCCGACAACAGGTCTTTAGTGGGCACCCTGCCACATGCAGTCAGTGCATAGGGCTTCAGAAGGACAGACTCCCCCAGGTAGGGTACACGGGCAGATGTCTGAGGATGTGGGATCACAGTGATCTTGCAGGTCAAGTGAGATCAGGGAAGATGTGTCCTTATCTGTGGAAAGCAATGTGAGAGCAAGTGTCTGGGCATCACACAGGGCTGAGTTGGAATCTCAGCTCTGCCACTCACTCCGTGTCTGGCTTTGAGTAAGTTATGTAACTTCTGTGAGCTTCAACTTTTGTATTTTTAACTTGAGTAAAACAGTAGTGTCTGCATTGTGGGGTTCTTGTGAGAATTACAAGAGCAATTGCAAAGTAGCCAAAGCAGGTCTAACCCACAGAAATACTTGTACATGATGGTTCATGTCACAGCTGCTATTTTTGTTATTCTCATCACCAAATGTTTTATTAGATAGAATATGTGAGCCAGAGATGCTGAAATCTAGGCTTCCTATGGGAAGAAATAAGTTTGGTAAATTAGGTTAAACTTGAAGTTAAACTGTGGAGTGCCTAAAAGGACAGTGATGAGTTTGAACTTTGTAGGCTGGCCAGAAGTGGCCCCTCCAATGTCACAGGCCAAAAAAGGTGACAGACAGGCATGAAGCTGCTGAGTGCAAGGTGACAGAACAACGGGAATGTGGCCACAGCAGGGTTGGAAGGTGCTGGCAGCCTAAACACCCTGATTCTCAGAATCTGAAAGTCTGGGGCCAGAATTCAGCTTGCAGTCTGAATTCAAGTTCTGAAAAGGTACAGATTGTTCTAGTTCAGGGCAGGCATCATCAAACATATTTTGTACTAGATAACTGATACTAATTTAGATTTTGTGGGTTGTAGCCTTAATTGCAACCACAAGTAACCATAGAGTTGCTTGGTAAGGTGAAAATGAATGGATCAGGCTGTATCACAATAAAACTTTATTATAAGAATAGGCTGCAGGTAGGATTTGGCCCAGGGGTTGTAGTTTGCTTATCTCTTATTTCAGGGGATGACATAATCAAAGTGGAATGATTAATGTAGGAGGGATTAATGTAGGGCTGGATCAGAGAAGAATGTGGCTAAAACCATAGGAATCACCCAGGAGGCTCCCATGGTAATAGTATAAGAATGGACCAATAGGAGACAAAGCAGGCTCAACAAGTGCAGTGATGCACACAGGAAAGAGGAATACATGGGACCTGGCAGGTCTTAATATCAGGGAGGAGGAGAGGGCTCACTGTGGGGATCCTAAGCCTGAGATGCGATACCTGCTCTCTAACAACTACCCAGACCATACAGTTTGCAAAGAACTGTACTTCTGCTGTGAGAAGACACCATAAAGCTCCCCCGACTCTTGAGTCCCAACACTGTGATGTAAAATTATTAATTTATTACTATTGGAGGAGGAGTGGCAATTGGGCAGTTCAGAAACATGCTCAGAGCCAGCATTTACTAATTTGGACAGCTCCATGGAGCACAATAAGCTGTAACTTACCCAAAGACATGGCATCCAATGCCATGCCAAAACAAAGAGTCACTATTACTGTCATTGCCACATTCATAATGGGTCTAGGTTGCCCTCTGGGACAAAGTGGGCTGGAAAAGTCATTCAGTGTTGTCAGTGGGATCCAAATCTCGGTATTGGAAAGTTCATATTTTCATTTTGTTTGTTCCATTTTTCTGCTTTTTTTTTTAACCCTTTGTGTACCCACTTCTCTTGTTTCTCTGTCTAATTCTTTTCAGGTGTGTCAATGATATTGAGGGGCTATGATGCTGGGAGGCAGTGCCAGCATCCCTCCTGCTTCACTGGGGAAGGTCTATCAAGCAGAGGCCATGATAGGACTAAATCCTACTGTGACAATTATTGGTAGTTTCCTCAAGGGAGACAATGTAGCAAATAACACTCAGTGTAAAGGAGCAAGCATGAGTCTTTGGCCCCCATTTGGCCCCTTATTGGTCCCCAATGAGTCTTTGTGGCCAATTAGAACTGCTGGAATTTTTATAATGCAGACTGAGGCCTAGTGACCCTCTTCCAGGTACAATTTACAGGAATGTCCTTCCTGAACAATGATGCTTCTCTTCCTTCCTGTTCGCTTTCACGGGCAGAATCTGCTTTTATTAGAGTGAAACTAAATTTGAGATTAAAAGGGGAACATTCCCTCATAGTAATGAATTATGTTGATTTGCTCAATAAAGAAAAACCAACCAACAAGCAGAGAAAAAGTATGAGAGAGAAAGGCAGACTGACGTGGACAGAGAACAAGGCAATACCTGGACACACAGCACATATTCTGGAGACTCTGTGTGCTGGAAGACCACTGCTGACCGAAGGACCCCATGAGGATCCAACACAAACTCCTGGTCTTCATTTCCCAACAAAATAGAGAATGAGAAGGGAGGCCCATTTTGAAAGGAGTCTCTGTCTGTCACCACCAGCTGCAAGATGCTCGTGCCCACTAGCTTATTTTCCTGCATAAGGCAGAACAGTAAAAAGGAAGATAAAATTACACCTTTCTTTACGTTTTAGAAACCCCATCATTACCAGCTGAGAGTACTGTGGGGGAAAGCCAGGGTTTCAGCAGAAGGAATTTCCTGAGATATTTAATTTGTCTTCTGAAAGACATGCTGGTGTCTGCAAGCATCACCATTGCCATCTGTGGCTGCTTCCTCCTAACTGCCCCACATCACTGTACTCTGCAGGTTGAACCCAGTTGCTCATATTAAACAGGTTTATGGGTTCCAAGAATGCCGTGGGTTACACCTCATTCTCCATGGGCTTGCAGGGCCCTACCTTTACCTGAAGAGCTATGGAAAAAAATGCTCTCTCCAGATTTTGTGACTATGTTGGAAATCCTTTGAGGCCAAGAAAACATCTCCCTGTTGTGATGGGAAGGCACATCTACACACTTGTAACAACATGATTATGCTGATGTCCAACACTGCTATATAATGTCACATCAGACTTTGGAGGAGGGTCATGCTAGAAGATTCCCAGTCAATATACAAAGGCATATGTCAGATTGAAAATGGGAGCATCACAACCCATCTCCACAACACAATTGTGCCATGTTTCTCCAGGGGAGAGAAAGGGGGCAGCATATTTTTCAATTTGAGGGTGAAAAGAAAAGGAATCCTGAACTTCATCTGAATTTTTGGAAAACCTAAGGTTATTATCCAAGCATTCTTTTGCAGAACCTCTCTCTGTCTCTTCCCCAAACTGGGAGTACAAAGCCTCCTTATAGCTCCTCGTTGGGTCAAAGATTACCTTCCTCACTTTGAAAATGCCTAATGAAACTCTTTGTAGCTCAGACACTGGCTTCCTTGCCCCACTCTGGACTCCAGCATTATCATAGCCTTGGCCAGAAGTCAGCTTTATTAGTTTAGGCCTCCCTATACATCAAATTAAGGATTAAGTGGGTTGGGTTGTTTAGATGGCAACAGTGGCCCACTGCAGCTTGGAGGGCAAGCCTGCTTGGGTTTTGTGTGGAGAATTAACCTAATGAAAACCATGTGTTAGAGTAAGAAATGACCCAAACAATGTATGAACATGTGAATAAACGAATAAAACTAAAATAAAAAAAAAAAAGAATAAAGAAGCCATTCTCAGTTAGGGAAAGAGAGGCACAGTTTCGAAGGAAGAAGAGAAGGTGACCTCAAAGACCTTTTATTCTGTTCCGTCTCTCAGTGCCCTGTTGGTCATCAAACACTAGACATCACCTCCCTCTAGAACCCATCGTGGGACCTCTCAGGCAGTGAAGATTTAGTATTTCACACTGACAATGTACTCAGCACCACACAAAACAGAAGATTATTGATTTGTTTGCTCACTCTGTGAGATTGTTTCCTCCACAGAAGAGAGTGAGAGAGTGTGTGCCCTCAAGGTCACCATCTGAGAAAGAAGGGAGTAAAAATTATACTGAGCCCTGTGTGAAGAGATGGGACCCAGTCACTGCTCAAGGACTGAGACTCTCAGTTCTTTTACCACTGACTTCCAGTTGTGCATCTGAAACAGTCTGCAAGCTGATGGATGCATTCATAAAACTGAACGTTTGAGTAGGCAAAGCCTGCTTTGTTTTGGGAACAACACATAAAGACCCTGGTGGACACACAGTCACAGAGATGAGCAATCTGAGAGAAAGGAATGAAGGAAGGTTCAGGTCTGGATGAAGTTTTGGGGAAGCAGGGAGCAATTGGCACACACAGTTGCTGGAGGAAGCATCAGACAAGAGAAAAGCAAACTCCACCTGGGGAAAGGAACAGAGATTGTCTGACAAAGAGGTAGGAACAAGCAGCTGGCTGCTTGTTTTGATGTCTGCCTCCCAGCCTGATTTCCAGCAACTCAGCAGCACTGAGCTCAGGGAGGCTGGTTTTAGATGGCCAGAGTTAGTCTTCAATCTTATTGCAAAGGGCCTCTTAAGATCTGGCCACTTTTCTCTATCTTCTGCCTACAAACCCCAGGAGTTGGTAGCAACTGTGAAGTCAAACCGGATAAGGCAAGAGCTGTTTTCTAGAATATCTGTGCCTCTCCCAAGACATGCACAATCATCTATCTCCCAAAATTCCTCCACTCTGACAGTGTTCTCAGTCTGGATTTCCTGAGCCTCCTAGCACTGAACTTCTATCTTCTAGAAACACTGGGAAGTAAAGGAAGCTCAGACCTAGAATTATGCTCATGAAATATCTTCTGAATAAAAAAAATGGGAAAAAGATTAATTTTTGCAGTCCAATTTTAAAGGGCAAGTGTATTTAAAGAGTTAAACAAATTGCTTATGGAAGATTAATTTTTGATGAGTAGCAGTACTATCCTGAAGCCCAATTTCTCTTTGACTGATAAAATGGTTCAGACTGATCTCCCTCCCCTCCAAAAATAACACCAAGTTGCTTAAAGATGTATATGCAGAAGACAGACCCAGATTCAAATCCTGACTCTACCACTTGCCAACTGCATGATCTTGGATGAACTAAACCTCACAGATCCTTAACTGCTTCAACTGTAAAGTGGGAGTCAACCTGTCATCCAATTCCCAGTTCATTGTGGGGATAGATGGTGCACATAAAACTTCTGATCCTTGAAAGAACTGGTTCTTCATAGTTTTTGTCAACATTTACTCATCAGTTGTAGGAGAAAATCAGGCTCTTTTCATACCTGCCCTAAGAGTGGCCAAGTTAATATTAACTAATAATAATAATAGTAAAACCTAATGAGTGCTATGGTTTGAATGTTTGTGTCCTCTTCAGATTCATATGTTGATACCTAACTCCCAACACAATAGTGGAAAGAGGTAGAGGGTTGGGAAGGATTGGTGTCATTATACAAGATGACTGAGTGAACGTGAAGTTACTGTTATGAAGCAGAAACTAAGCCCTAACCAGTCACAAAATCCGCTAAGCCTTGACCTTGCATTACCCACTTTCAAAACAGTCAGAAATAAATTTCTGTT